TTTGTCCATTTCATGCATTCTTGACTACCCTAGGCGGTGTCTCCCATTTTGATCTAGGGACTTCCAGGCTATACTCGGCACAGATGTTCCCAGGATGTGGTCATACGTGGAATCCATACATGGCATTCAATGTATGCCCTGCTTGTGTGATCCACACAAATATGTGGTCACAATTTTGAGTTAAGTGGTGTGATATATGGAGATTATTATGCATGTTTTATGTTGCTGGTTTATTGGTGGAATTTAAGTCCACAATGTCATGCAAGTACTCTGTTGCCAGGAGAGTCTATAACACTTTGGACAGTAGGGGGCAGCAGTGTGCTTTGGGAACTAGTGATGTGCGATACCACTGATTTCTTTTCCGATACGATACCAAGAAAAATTCAGGGTGGTATCGACGATACTGATCCGATACAGATACTTTGCACAAAAAACTTAATGTTTCATTGTATTTCATATATAATTGTATTATGTAATTGTAATAATAATATAGCTTCATAATGATTACAGGACATCAGACTACTTGTTCTTATTGCTTAATAATGCAGAATTAGTGCTGCTAGGGCAAGACAGACGTGAGAGACGTCTGTCTTGCCCTAGCAGCACCCTCTCCTATCCCTCTCCTCCTCTTCAGTTGGCCTCAACATACGCTCATCATATTCTGTGATATGATTTACTGTGAGGTGTTTAACAAGGTTAGTGGTGTTGCCACAACACCTCACTGTCTTGCCACATGTATCGCAAACTGCGTTTTGACTGTTTGTGGAGGTAAAATACGTCCACACAGGACTCTGTTCACGCTCAGCCATTGTTGTGAGTGTGCACGCCAGGGGCTGCCTGCAACACATTTATACAGCTGTATATGTATGACTATGAAAGGCGTAAGAGGAAGTAGTTCCTTCCAATTTAGACGATCCAAATGATATAGTTTCTTTCCATTGGGCTCCTGTTAATTATAAACTACAAATTTACCCCAAAGTACTAAAATACTGATATTTTAATATGAGAATCGATTCTAGAACATAAATTACTGGTATCGGAAGAATCCACACACCACTATTGGGAACTGAGTCGGGTGCATAGCTGCCATAAGCTTATCATTCTGGCTAGACTGACCAGGCCAACAGCAGCGTGTCTCCTGTGTTCACTTTCTCTCCTGTTTTACAGGTCAGTAATGTGGTCAAAACCATAACGAAATACACAGCTGGACACTGTGATACTTATTCTTTCATGACATAAGATGGCTGTGTGATATGTGATATATGTCACTTTCGCTATGCAAACTACTTTAGCTCTGTGGAATGTAATAGCTAAGCTGTATGCCTGGGTAATGCTAGCAAGCTGTTGCAACTGCGCTCGTCTCCATATAATAATAAGACACACCAATCCGGCTGGGTTTACAGTTCCTGATAAACTTGTAGTTTTGTGTCCATGACAAATGTTTTGTATAACGTGTCTGTAAAGTGTTCCGGGCCAGCCTGAAGTCATGTGGAAACTTGCTGTTTCAATGTTAGAATCTAACTAGCCTGAAAAATACATATAAAGCAAAAGAGCTACAGCTAACAAAAATGCTGGCAAGGACAAGAAGTGCAGTAATGTTGAAGGTAAAGTTTCCTTTCTATGATAAGACACAACGATGATGATGTGAATTATTTTATTTATCAGTTTTAAGGGGAAAGAGGTGCATTTGTCATTTGTTTCATTCATTTCAAGCTTTTGTTGTTTTATGCCAGTAGTGTGGCTTAATATTGAAATGCACTGGTGGAAAACGAGCTATTTGAGGGAATGAGCAGTTCTGGTGAAATTGAGTTACAAAAAGAGTGGAGAACATATGCTTGTGTTGTATGAATAAATTCTGGCAAGACTGACCAGGCAAATGACAGCATGTCTCCTGTGTTCACTTTCTCTCTTGTTTTACAGGATTGTATTCTGGCTGACGCCCACCATAGTGGGGCCAGTAACACTTGCTAGCACCTGGCACAATGCTATTATGTGCTGGATTGTCTCAGAGGCATCTTTACACAGCCTGCACTTGGGCTCTTGTCTGGTGCTGTAGACCCCATTCTCAATGGATCTTGTGTTGCCATGATTAGCGCCTCTGTGCTGCTGAGGTCAGCTGCCATCTTCCTAGTGGATTCATGGATGTTTGTTGTCTCAGTCTGGACCGTGGTACTGACACTGACTAGTCCTGGTCTCCTTTCTTCCACTTAGCATACAGTCTCAGGGTGGTGGACTTGGGGTGAAACCCTCCATGCATGGTCAGGAGCTTCCTTGTCTTGATGTCAGTGGCTTCCATCTCCTCACCAGCTTATTATCCCAACAGGGTACCTGGTCACAGGCAGGGCGTAGGTGTTGATAGCCCGGATCTCTTTCGTGTCATTCAGCTTACTCCTCAGGACTTGTCTAAGTATGTGCCGGTACTCGGTGGCTGCAGCTTTCCTAGCGGCCTCCTAATGGTTCCCATTTGCCTGTGTGATTCCCAGATACTTGTAACTGTCCTCAGTGTATGCAATGTTGCTTCTAGTAGTTCGATCCCCTCAGTTCTGACTACCTTCCCTCTCTCGTTACCATCTGACTACACTTCTCCAGTCCGAATGACATTCCAATGTCATTGCTGTAGATCTTTGTGGTGTGGATCAGTGAATCAATGTCTCATTTACTCTTGGCATACAGCTTGATGTCATCCATGTACAGGAGTTTGCTGACAATTGGTCCATTCCGTATGTCTGTGAAGGTTCTCAGTCATCCAGGTCATAGTAGTCTAAGGAGCTTGGAAAGAAAAGCATTTCACCTCTTATCTGGGAAGCTTCTTCAGTTCTAGGGTCAAATGGTGGAGAGTCCCAGGTGAGCTCATTGTGAAACCTAGCCCAGGATGCCTTAACGCCCACTCACATCCTGGGCCATCTGACCTCAGGAAATCACATGATAGGGTGGGGCTAGGTTTGACAGTGAGCTTACCTGAAACCTTGGCTGATTGTGACCTACACCCATTTTCACACCTTGGCTCATGTGATTAGGTAGAGGATCATTAGGGGGTCCATTGCCTCTTGGTGGGTCACTCCCACAGAGCTTAAATCTGGGACTCTCCACCATTTGACCTTAGAACTGAAGAAGCTTCTCGGATGAGAGGTGAAACGTCTTCAAGCAACTTAAACAAGTCCAGACGCTTTTCTTTCCAAGCTCCTTAGGTCCATTCCGTACTTGGTATTTGTAGCCTGTTTTGTAAAGGATCTCACTGAGGGGGTTCAGGCCTATGTAGAACAACAGTGGAAACAGAGCATCTCCTTAGTAGATCCCTCGCTTGATGCTATCTTGTGATATTGGGTTGAACTTAGCCTCCAGTGTTCTATACCACATCCCCATCGAGTTCCTGATTAAGGGTCTTAAGGTTCTATTGATCTTGTACAGATTGAGGCATTCCAGGATTCAGGTGTGGGGCATCAAGTCATAGGGCTTCTTGTAGTCTCAGGTGTAGCTGGTGTTTGCTTCACTGGTATTCCTACAAATTCCTTTCTGTGCTCCGCTCATGTATTTGGCCATGTGCCTGTTAATCTTAGCTGCTATGATGCCTGACAGGAGCTTCCATGTGGTACTGAGGCAGGTTATTGGCCGGTAGTTAGATGGGACTAGTCTCTCTGGGGATCCTTGAGGATCAGGACTGTCCAGCCTTTGGTTAGCCATTCTCGCTGTCTCTCATTGACTAACAGTGGGTTCATTTGTCCTGCCAGATGCTCATGGATTGCAGTCAGCTTCTTCAGCCAGTAGGCATGAATCATGTTGGGGCCTGGTGCTGACCAACTCATGCTATGAGACCCTCTCTTGGATATCTGCCACTGTGATGGTTACTGGACCCTGTTCGGGGAGGTTGCTGTTGTCTGCTCTTAGATCCTCTAGCCACTGAGCATTGCCAATATGGATTGGGTCCTTCTCCCATATGCTGTTCCAGTATTGCTCAGTATCCAGCCTTGGTGGTGCTGTTCTCATGTTGTCAGCTTATTTAATTCATTTCAATTCAATTTTAATTGTACAGCACCAAATCATAACAACAGTTGCCTCAAGGCGCTTTTATGGTGAGGTAGGCCCTACAATAATGCATGCAGAGAAAAAAATAACAATTAAATGACCCCCTATCAGCAAGCACATTGGCGAGAGTGGGAAGGAAAAACTCCCTTTTAACAAGAAGAAACCTCCGACAGAACCAGGCTCAGGGAGAGGCAGCCATCTGCCGTGACCGGTTGGGGTGAGAGAAGGAAGACAGGATAAAAGACATGCTGTGGAAGAGAGCCATCCAAGTACACCTTGGATGGTTCTGTAGAGAACAGCTGGTTTATTCTCCTGCCTTCTCTTTCTCAGGTATACCTATTCAAGCGGCTAGCCAAGTTGTGAGTCTTTGTTTCGCATATAAAACATATACACAAAACACACTTTAAAAAAATCCTCTACTATGATGCAGGTACTATATGTTCTCGTATACAAAGTTTTTATTAGAAAAGGTTTATCCCCTAATGGGAAGTGGACAGCATCGGGTCAAAGAGTGTTGAGTGTGCACTTATTTTTTAGACAATGGATGGTTAACAACTTTAATATACATACATGTGAATACATGTTGCTATATAAACATACAAGGAGTTCCATATGTAAGCGCCTTGAGGCAACTGTTGTTGTGATTTAGCACTATATAAGTAAAACTGAATTGAAATGAATTGGTATTTATCTTCTGTTTATATAGATAACATCTGGCGTCCCTATTTTCTTATTTTTCTCAACTTGATTAGGTATATCAATTTACCAACAGCAAGAATAGGCCAAATAATATTACAACATATGTGTACTTGTATGTAAAGTATACCTGCTCACCAAAACAGTTTACAATAATTGAATAATGTTAAACAACCTTTACAATAATCCGGTGATCAATAATAAGTTTATTGTCTACCTTTATAGTGGTAGTATAAGAAACTAACAGTATCTCTTCTAAATTATCTGTAAGTGTATCTTACCTGTAAATCATGCCAGTGGTGTAAGACACACTGTCCCTAAGTGAAATGTGGTTCATCCTAAGGAAGTCCTCGAGATTTTTGAGCTGAGCAGCTGCACGAACTTCTCTCAGGCGCTGATAATCTGCTACGTGGCGACTGCGCTGTTGCTTTTCTTCCTGCTCCATTGCTTGCTCTGACAACAAACAGCTTAGGCCACTGTGCACACTCTCACTCATTGATGACAGGGAAAGTATCTTGCCAGACACTCCAGTTCCACTGCTGATGCTACCGCTTCGATAAATTCCATTACTGTCTCGACCTCCAGGTGCCACCCCTCCACTGGTCCCAGGTTTGGGCATCTAGAAGTAAGAGGACAACTTTTTTAAAAATTAAACAAGAGTCCAAAAACCCTATATTAAGTACATCATCATACATTTAGTAAACTGTAGCACACCCACATGCATATAAGTTTGTAATACAATCACAGCTTTTTTTTCTTGGTGTCTACTCAATCTATGCTGCTTTCAATATTCAAGTGCTAAAACTGAATAATTCATGGGTGAGTGGGGATAAAGGTCTGCTGTGTGTTGGATTTGAAAAAAAAGAAAGAAAGAAAAACCTATGTCAGCCAGTTTTTCTCAGTCAGTTTCATGCAGTGTTTCAAGTGTTGAAATATGGAGTTCAGAATGTGTGTATTAACTGTTGAGGTCAATAAATTTATATTTCTATTTTATTTATATAGCACCAAATCACAACAAAAGGCGTTTCAAGGCACTAATAACTGCCATTTTCCCAGAAAAATTCTCATATTATAAATGACTGGGGAAATTTACTATGTTTTGTAGGCAGATATGTTTGTGGTTTCACTGGAATGGCACCGCACAAATAGACATTTGTGATCCATCGCTGAACAAAATTTAACCTACTGTAAGCTTGTTTTCTTCCATTTAGGTGTTAGCACTCTTTTTGCTTTTGCTTTTCTGTATCCAAGCCCTGTTTCATTCAGCCCATTTCTTTTAGTTCCATCACAAACACTGTCTACAGTTTTCCCCAATTATATTTCATTTATATTGCTGTGCAGTTTCTACTTTCAATTCGTCTTGCTTTCAATTTTCTGTCCAGTTTCACTCCTTCTTCAAAGTCTCTTCAGGTATCCTTTCACTCCACTCAAGCTGACTTCAAGCTAAAGCACTGGAGGGTTTTGTGACTGGCCTCCTTGCTGGCCCTCACAGCACTTCATAACCACCACTGGGCTCCCAGTTGCCCCCCTCAACTAGTTATCCTTTTTAATTAAAATTTTGTTTCTGAGATTTTTATTTATATTTACACAGCACCCCACTCCCGAAATTGGGATTGCAGCTAAGATGTTCATGTTGTTTTGTAAATGTGAAACCAAGAAACACAAAGACAAGCTGACAACAAACTGTTCGGCATATTCCTTGTGCTGCTGAGACTCCAGAGTGACCACGCCAAAAGAAGACACTATTCAAAAAAGATGTAACTCATAAATGAGGAGTGTTTTATCATGATATATTTCCAAGCTCTAGAAATCAAATTTTACTCAAAGAGAGGGTATCAAGCTTGCAACTGTTAACTTCATGAACCCACACAAAGTAAAATTTAGCTGTACAATACTTGAGTACAACTCAATCCAACCTTTACAATATACATACCATACAAATAAAAGAAACAGTATCATCTTTGCCCTCTCAATTTTTTAAAAACCTCTGACCTACATCAGAAAATCCTCAGTCACTCAATAATTTAAAAGCCTCTCTCCTCATGGTAATGATGATGGAACACGTAGAGGCTATTGTATTTTATTGTAGAGGCTACATAATGCAACATTGTGGAGCGTAAGTTTTTTTCTCTCCCTCTCATTATCAGTGTATCCAAAACAATACTTACCCGAGATGTTGGTGTTCGGCTGATATAGGGATTCTGGACTACGCTGCTCATGGTAGAGATTGTGATTAGCAGATATAGCAGTATGTTGTAGTCAGCCTAATGCTAGCAGTTTCTGGACTGCTTTAAAAGTAGTTACTGAACAAGTTAATATGGCTTATCTACTCCCTCCTACTTGGTCACGTGGCACACAGAGCCCTATAACCAAGCCTGTCTGCACTGCAGTGGGCAAAAAATAATCTCACAAGTAAATTATTTAATAGCACTAAAACAAGCATCTACACTAAAAGCTTGTGATTGCCTAACAGGAAAGCATACTAAGGCCCTGAAATTTTGCTTGTCTCTACAGTAATGTGTCTGTTTTTTTTTTTTATTATTATTATTATTATTATTTTTTTTTTGTGTCCCGCTTGGATCTTTAGCCATCAGAATTGTTGTCTTAAGGCCAAGAAAGATGCCAAGCGGATTTATTTTACCAAGTGGATCATCATGGCCTTGCCATATTGGTCCATTTGATTGACCTTTATTATAATTATGAATTTATTTTATTTTCAGTTGCTACAAA